TGGCATTAATTTCGTTGTACAAGTTGTACAATGACAATAAAGATTTCTATTCTATTCTAATTGCTGAAGTATTTGAGATTCCCCATTTTTGCCCTCTTGAGCAAGCAGTAAAAACTGAAAGCTTTATTGAGTGTCATATGGGCCACACTATATAACTGAAAGTTGTCATTCTGCTCAGTGTATCATTGGAATCAGGATGATGTTTGTAAAAAGCCCTCCTCTCCTTAGGTTTTGTGGGAAGTTTCATGAGGAAGAAACAAGGGAAAGGATTGTTCCCCTTTCTACTTTTTGAGAAACTCTTCACATATACAACAATTAAAACCTTAGTTCTAGAGTTCAGAGAGTATATTAAAAGGAAAATATGCATTTTTCCCCTTATGAAACCTCACTATCACATGAAGTCTGTGCTACACGTCTAGTTTCCTGCTCCAGCCCTACTAGGAACATTCCTATTAAGGAATTGGGATAGATGGCAATCTTTTCTTGAGTTGCTATGACTGTTTTTTTAAACTACCTAGTATGAATAAAATCATTTAAGGTTAGTGCCAAACCTGAAAGACTCTTGGGTAAGAAGCTCTGGGTATCTCTCTGGAAATAACCTCAGAGCTTCCCAGGAGGCAGATGGGAATTGATGGCAATAAGCAGCAAGAGACAACTGGTAGCAAGCAGGGTAGATAATCAAGTACTTATGCAGGCCATGTTATAAAAACCACTAAACTGCAGCTGCTATAAAGTCAAAACTCTAAAAGACCATTATATCAATACTTACTGCCATCTTTCCCATTCTCAGTGCCTGTGGACAAACCTACAACATCTGTATTGGGGACAGAGTGCAGGGACACTGGGGAGAAGAAAGGTAGCAGCTGTCACAGCAACTGCACTTAACATATCCCCGAAATATCAAGTGGAGCTGCCACCCTATCATCCCATTGCCAATCTCCTGGCCATTGGAGGGCAGGGGAGAGAGGAGGCTGGCATGAAATGTGGAGCAGTAACACACATATGGTCTGCGAACTTTGTTTATAGCTTAAAAAAGCAAAAATAGTCACTAGAAAACTGAGCCTTGCAATGTTTGGTGTTGTCTTGCATATGTAAGCTTTTTGTTAATTATCCATTTATTTTTGTACATCAACGTTTCTTTCTACTTATAGACTTACTGCTATAAATTCAAATAAGCCAAAAGAAAGATGCTAATAGTTGAAGGAAAGTTTCTATTTAATTCAGTATATAAAGAAAAAAAATATAGGTAGTACTTGTTTTCATAAAACTTGTTGCTTGAAATTTCACAATATAATAGTTCAGTCAAGAAATCTGAATAAACCAAAGCCAATCTGACCTTCTGCTCTGGGCAGCAGAAATATGCTGTAAACACCAAAATGACAAAGTAGAAAGGGTACTTTTGTTGAATCACATTGCAAAGTTCATTTTACCTTATAGATCCTGGTGGCTTTTTTTGAAATAAAGTCATTCCAGACAATTGAGAACTTCTGCATGTAACACTACCTGTAAATAATATTCCTGATTATATTAGAATGTTATACTTTACATAATCCATTATCTGAATATACATTTCCAGAAATACACTGCAAACTTCAAAAATTACTTGGAAGAAGTGCTTCAGATATCATGTTAGCACAGTCCTCTCTGCTAATCATTAAAAGATCCCAACCTTTTGCAGGCTTCTATCTGAGTGTGAAAAAAGTACCACTGCTTTAGAGTTGAACTTTAATGAAAATTTTTTAAAGAAACAGCACCTCCTTTTTAGGCTAGTGCAGAAACCTAGAAAGTTCAAAATTATCTAGCTTGAAGCCTGGAGGGTAGCTAACTATATGCAATCTCAGGTATAACATAAAACATTACAGATTATTTAATTTAACATCCATTAAAAAGTCACTTAGGTAATTATATTTTCTTACAATATGGATCATCAAAATCTACCCACACCTAATAATTCCAGAATACATGGGATTAATTTCAAACCTACTAACTGTGACAGCAGTTCCAGCAGTCCCAGTTGCCATTGTTAAACGAGGATCACGCGGGTCGTTAAGCGAGAACCTCACATGACCCCAACTTCCAACTTCCTGCCAACTTTCCCATTGACTTTGCTTATGGGAACCCAGCAGGAAATATCAGAAATTGCAATCACATGACCGTAGCTTGCTGTGATGTCATAATCATGAGCTGGGTGCCGAGCATCTGGATAGCAAGTAGATGACCGTGAGGGGATACTGCAATGGCTGGAACTCTGAGGACTGGTTGTAAGTCATCTTCGTTCAGCGTCATCATAACTTTGAATGGTTGCTGAATGGATGGACATAACCCAAGTACTACCCATGACCAAAAGGGGACTCCACTCAACTAGACCTAAATTGATTCTGTGGTCTTGCAGACTCAAAGAAGAGCTTCAGACATCTTTTTAAAAATTTCATACTTAAGGCAGAGAATACATTCCTATGGCTTTGAAACTATTCACAGCTAAATCTCTGACCCAGTTAGGTCCCTAACCAAGTTATAGGTGGAAGGAAATAGTAGGAAGCTGTGTTTATCAGAGCACTGCTTTATGCCCCAAGCTATATATCCAATGTGATCTTGGAACTTAAGATTGGCCCAAAGAGGGTCAAGTTGAGAGCTTGTCTATTAACTATTGGTTTAAGTACCACTATTTCCCAGCTGAATGGATTTCATTCATCCTGATTAACTTTCAATCTTCATGGTTGCAAGGAATTCTTTAAAAAATTTTCTTTTGTGGCCTTTCTTTTGAATCTTTACACTTCCTTGAATTCTCTCAGGCTAAAAGAGTCATTAGAGAACAGCCCTGGGACA